ATTGTATGTAAAATGTTGTTATGTTCGGAATCCTCCTGGTCATTACCAGAACTTCTTGACTAAATTATAAACTGATTTCGGTTAAAACAATGTGATAAAATATAAATCGTTACTTACATCTTCGAATATTTCATTACTTCTGTGTAAAACGCACACACCTCCAGAATCTTCATTAGCACCACACTGATTTGCCTTCAAGATAAATCAACAATTAATAAAATGTATTAACTTAAAAACAAATACTTACATTTTCCAATAATTCGTTGTTTGCTTCCATTTTTTTAACAAATGTATAAATTTATTTGACTTCACCGCTTTCTGTAAATCAGCTGATATGTAAATCAGCTGATCGTTTGACACTTTTCATGAACTTACAGGAAAAAATATTCCGGACTAAATCCTGTAACTTCTGACTAGGAACAGTTGCTCAGTTACTCTCTCAAATGTGTTCCCACTTACAGGTTTTTATGTCAATAGGAACGACTTCCTGTAAGTTCTGACTAAATCCTGTAAACCGGACTGCTATTGGAACAGACTAGTTATTATTTGCGCTGAAAACATTATCGGACAATATTAAAGGTGGTGGAGACTAGCTCTGTCACTGAAAAAAAAAACGCAAAGAAGAAAAGAGTAGGGTGCAAAGCGTGGATGACAAAAAAAAATAGTTATCTTAGAAAAAGCTAAAATATTCAACGTGGCCCAGCCCAGAAATTTCGTATGAAAATTCGAGCTTTCGTAGAACTCACCATATAAAATCCGTATTTTTTTTACTATAAGAGATATACACCTGCAATTTTGTCAACTTATATATAAACCAAGGTACAATATATCTGCCTATGATGAAAAATCAAATTGAAGTTCCCAAACCCCCAAAATTCAACATCAAACATGAATATCGGCAGTTGAGTGAGTAACTCACGGCTCTAAGGTTAACCGAGATTAACTTCTTGTAAACTTTTCCAAGGTATTTTCTCCGTTAAATACTATTCATCATTAAACATTTAGTTTTATTTGTTTTCAGTTTCTACATTATTAATTTTTTTGTTCGGAGTTTAGGATTCGACGAGAATGATTAATTAATTTATTTATTTTTAATTAAATGTAATCCAGTTCATACGGAATGTCTTAATTGCCAAAAGTACCGATACGAGTGGGTATCGATACTTTAGAACCCATATTTTTCGGGTATCGATACTTTCTTACGATACTGCTTCCAAGTAAATGTATCGATACCTGCAATGTATCGTTTCATCCCTACCTGCATATTTATGTATAGATTAAATTGTTTTGGTATACCAGCAGAAAATCTACGCTACATAGTGGATAAATGGTTGCTTTAGCCATGTTGCCTTATTTTGCTGCTTGAATTGCGCTAGCCGATCTTTCTAATTGTCTACCTTACGTCCTGTTGAAGCTACACAAATTTGGCAATAGGGGTATACATGGATGCAAGTTTGACATAGTTTTTTGCCAGAAAAACAGATACTTCCTGTTTTTCGGTATTTTCGGCTTTTTGCAAGATTTCTGTGGCTTATAACTACTTTGTGGCAAAAAGGCGTGTGGCTTTGTTCTCGATGTCAGAGTCAGCGTCGCGACGATTTTTTTTAATGTCCTGAATACTGCGAAGGGTAAACCAAATATGTATGCACACGTCCGTGTAAGAATTTATTTACGAATACATATGTAAAGGGTTGACTGATAGACTGGCAAGCTGACTAGTGCGTGCTTTAGTGCCTATTAGAACTGATTAATATCGAAAACCACCATCCTTTAGCTTGTTTTTTGGTTGGTGGTTGTAGCTGTCAGTGGTTTGCAAACTTGAATCAAGCTAGGCTGCTAGCAAAGAAATTACTGGTTCAACAAAATTTTTTTAGATGCCAAATACGTAATGAAGCAGCTCATTAAACTGACACCGGTTTTTACTTAACCTTTAAGTATGGGCATTCTTTTCGCAAAATTAGCCTGGACATGCGATCTCACAAACTCCAAATCTGCGAGCATGGATTTGTGATAAATAAAGGATATTCAACAGCAGTGGAACAAGTACAGCATTGAAACTCGTTTCTAAAGATCGTACTTATCGATTGTTGATTCAGTTAATTTATCTCTGTACTCTTTTCTGACAAATTTCTCAACAGAAAATGTAAACACTTGCGTCACATGAAGTAATAAAAACACTATCTAAGAATATAAAAAGGCTTGCAGTGCTTAAAGTTTATGGTTATTAACGCACTGCCATCGGCCTGTGTATAGGTACGTATGTACATACATAATTACTCGGGCGCAATTGCCTCATGAAAGTGATTAGAGTAGTTATTAAAGTCTTAAACAGGGATCAAACGATTTGCACATTTGTACAGATTTGCCCATTTTGGCAGTTACAGAGTGGCGTAATCTAGAAATTATTTTATAGAGCTGAGCTAAAATTTCTAAACAACATTCACTCTGTGACTTCAAAAATGTACAAATGCACAAATCGTGCGATCCCTGCCTTATACGGGTGACAAGGGGGCTTGCTTATTTGCATAAACATCCTTTAGTTGCATTAAAAGTGGCAAAGTGGAAGTGAGCTCTTTAACCAAAATGACTCGTAATGGCCATTGAAAAGTATTTGTATTTATTTACATTTCCGCGAGTGATTACACGTGCATGAAGTAAGTAATACATAATTAACTGAAAACTGAAAGCCTTCAATTGCAGAGAAATGAAGATGCAACACAAGCTGATTATTATGCATTATGTTGTACTTGCAATATACATAACTACATACGTACGTATACATATATGTTTATATGCAACAACTTTTATATAACGTTGAACTTGCAATATACATAACTACATACGTACGTATACATATATGTTTATATGCAACAACTTTTATCGCGCGTGACAAATGGGCTCTCTTATTTGCATAAATATCCTTTAGTTGCATTAACGGCGTCCACGGTTGCCGAGTGGTGAGAGTTGCGTGATGTAAACGTATTTTTATGCTTTGCCGTACGCATATGTTTACATATAAAATTTTATGAGTACCTAGTACTCACGCCTTTTTTTTGTCCAGGTCATCAGATCAGCACCGTTCGTTCGATTTTCTAAAATGAGATGCCAAATTAAAGGGCTTGAGCTGCGGATGTGCAGTAAGTTTTTACTTTTTCGAAAAATGTTGCGGCCTTTTAAATAATTAAGCTTAAATTATTTAATATTCAATGCCCTCA